ACATTCACTCTAACACTTGATTATATGTTCCTGAGAATTTTTACAGTCTGTTACGTCTTTGTTTTTCACTTATCGCTTTTGCTTTTATTGTGAAGATTAAATATATGCGATCTACATTTCAAGTTCCCACTCCTAATTCTTTGGTCCTGTATATAGTTGTTCAAAGAAAATGCCAGAGTGATATGAAAAGTTTTGGTGCAATGAAACAAAGATTGAAACCAACTCTACTGACAGAACTCAATGTCTGTGCTCCACTCTGTAGATATATGGGTTTATAATGTAAACCATGCACAGTTATTTCACTGCTGTTACATGTGCAAACCATTTAATTGTACTTTGAATTTTGAAATATTAGAGCTCAATATATTATTACATGATTTATTTTTGCAAGAACATACTTAGCATACCTATAATTTTTCTGTTCCAAACTATCAATCCCTTAACTCCACAAATGATTTTTAAATAAATTATGCATGTTAGAGCAGATGACTGCTCCAGGGTATTATATAACTTCTTTTTTTTAATTGTACGACTGTCATCTAACCAGTTTGTGGACACATTATATGGAAAAGCAAATGCATGTACCTTTTTTGTTATGCAGTTAAGTCCACCATTTGGAATTTGAGTTGGAAAAAATGAGATCCCTAAAAAGGCACAGCACATAAGATATCAGCATTTCTCTATTCTTCCCACTGGATAAAAAGAGTGATACAGTTATCGCAGAGTGACCTGGCAACGATGAACTAAGAAATCTTGCTAATGATAGACCATTTTAGTGGAGGTATTTATACTGAATTAGTGCATATGGCCATGATAGGTACTTTTTAGAAAGACTAAACCCATAAATTACTTTTGCCACCAACAGCTAGTGACTTGATCAATGCCCAAATTACTGCAACAGATTGTTATCATCATGTATTGACCAATAACCAGGCCAGACAGAAAGAAATCTAAATAATAACAAAAACACAATAATAATAAAACTAACAAACCAATATAAAAAAGCAAACAATCCCCTCCCCTTCCTCTCCTCCCCCTTTAAAAAACAAAACAAACCAAAAACAAGCCAACAAACTCTCACAAAATAAATAGATGCATGCCTTAGCATGAAGCTCATCAGATTGGAGGTCTGACCAAATGTCAAAGGATGTAGGGTTAAAGGTAAAAGCCTTATGCAAAATGTCTCACTGCCAGGCGTGGAGAATTACCTCTCCTATCTCATCTGTACACACTGTATGTTCTTTGAGACGGTTGCTCACTTTGCATGTATTTTGTACACTGCTTAGCCAGGTGTGATCCTAGCCTCATCTGGAAACAGCTGGAGCTGTCGTAAAACCCACAGCTTAGCCAAAATTGGGGGATGGGGAAAGGGGGCAGAAGGGGAAGGAATTATAATGAAAGGGTTGTGAACCTGGCTGTTTTTGAGTCACAGATCCAAGAACAGTAATGTAACAGATATATACAGTGCCTTTCAAAACATGAAAAGTTAAACGCATTCTCCAGCTGATTAGTTTAAAAGTGTCTGCGCTCTGGTAACAGATTTCTGACAGAAGTACCGTGTTGCTCAGTGACGTTGATCAGGACCCTGGATAGTTGTCTGAAATAGAGAGCAAATAAAGAGCATGTCTACCTTGTTCTGGTTGATTATTTGTCTGGAGAGAAGGGAAGGCCAAAAGATGAACATTACACATTTGTGTTGCATTAATGCAACAACCTCCATCAATCTGTCCATTCAAAAATTGAATGGACATGTACGAAATCAGGAAGCCTTAACTGGAAGAGCAAAACTAGAAACCAGAAATCTGTTGTTGTTTGAAGAGACCTAATCCTTTTCCCTCTGAATAGAAACTCCTTATAGTGAACGTTCAGCCATCACTTTCCTGAACTTAATACATACCTGCAGGTAGGATTCCAGCTAGAGTTATTTCATTCCCAAAGCCACATCTGTTTTACTAGAGAAAGTAATCTGTTTGCTACTCCATACACCAGACAAAAACCACCTGCTATTTCAACCTCTAAGCGAAGAAACCACAGCTGTCATACCTCCCAAATCTTGTTCCCATTCTCTAGAAAGAGAAAGCATCATCTTAATCTACATAATAAAATCCATTTAAAACACGCCTATCATGTGGAATGACAGAAATCAATGAAATTTCCAGAATATAAGAGAACAACTCCATAAAGGTGCTAGGAATATATAGAAAGATGAAACACCAGAAGTGAAAATGACTATTGCGTTTCTTCTATGATAACCTTGAATGTGGTGGGTTTGAATTTTACATTTATGTATTTATTTTTTCACTAGGACTCCATATCGGGTTTGAGAAGGCAAACAGCTTTATTGATATGTAAATAGATGTTTGAAGCTTGGGAAAGCAGATGTGCTATGGATATTCAAGTGTAAATTAAAAACTCAGAGAACTTAAAGGAAATACAATCTAGGGCTTAGGTATTACAAGGAACGTTGGGAGCAGGAGGAGTAGTCAGACAACCTTAAATATGAAATAATAACCCATACAGGACTTACACTGGTTTAAGTCTCTACGCCAGTTAATCTAGATAATGAATGCTCCACCCTTGTATAACTGAGTGCCAGTTGTATCTATATTCTAAATTATAACAAACATTAACCAGTCAGTCTTTCCAGCATCCTTGAAAGATGATACTGAGGTGGAAAGCAAAAGAGAGCCAAGATGATACACGAAGAGCTATGCAATACTATTTCTGTATGGAGGCCAAATACTCCAAAGTAAATAGACTTTTAGAGAAAAAACATACATAATGGGATGAAAAATTAAGTATTTGTTTGTTAAGTAACTAATGATCATTTTATGTCATTAATACTTGGCATTCACCAGTTCTTCCTGAGAGTCTTGTTACAGAATTCTTTTTTCAAGAAAAAGAGATAAGATTTTGAATTTATTTTGCTTGTTTGCATGTTTCCTTGCTTTTTATAGTGATTTTTTTTTGGCCAGCTTTGTATTACCGTTTCATTTGCTGCAGTAATAGCTAATAGTCAATTCTGAAATGCTGTTGCTAGAGAGGAAGCTAGTGAGGAAGCTATGAGGTATTTTACTGATGGACATTACAAGGCTTTCAGTAATGTGCAAGCTGTTCAAGACTGTATGCTTTTCCTGTACTGCTTGCCTTGTAATGTCAGTCAGTCTAGTCTGCTTCCCAAGTCTTAGAGTCCAAAGGCAGAATAAAAAGCAAGCTCATACTTGCCTATTTCCTGGGCCTTAGATGCAATAGTTTCAGAGCTTCTGCTCCTGGCCATACCACTGTTTACAACATGGATAACTACTACAGAGAAGCAGCTTTGCACTAGCCAGGACCTACTCAAGATCTATATGCTTGCTTAGAAGTCTTCAAGGTGCCAACAAGTTATTCTCTCATTTCATGGGCAATAGGGCAATAGGTCTAATCCTATTAATCCTATCCTAGTCTTTTGACTATAGTCTTGAATGTTGGAATAGTGTCTTTCACTAAAAATGAGCACACATATTTTTAAGGAGTTCCATAAAATAGTTTTATATTAGTACATAAATGGTATCTTACTGTAGAAAAGAGTCAGCAGTATAAGACCTACTAAGACCTCCTATCTGAGAGGAAAATGGAATATTTCTGTAAGAGGAAACTAATTGGAAGAAGTCAGGCCTCATGCCTACCTTGTACTGCTGTGAGGGTGTAGAGATGAATTAAAGAACATCCATTTACCATCATGAATATTTCTAGAACAAATAGCTTTGTTGCCTGTGGTCTTTACAAATGTCCTCTGCTGGAATAAAACATGATCTATGGGAGACTGTTTGTGAGGACAGCAGTTATTAAAAGGCAGGGCTATGTCTTAATGTCTGTCTTTTTCCAAAATCCTCTCTCTTCTGTTTCTTGTGTTTTATTACTTTTAATGTTATCTCCCTTTTGCCCTACTTCTAATTTTATTAACTGCATTTCAAAAGTATCAAGATGTTAAGGTTTGGAGTGGCCTGAGCCGGATACTGAACAAACATAATTAGAGATATTCCTTGCCGTGAAGTCTCTCATTTAAACCGAAGTTGAGTAAAGAGGGTTTAGCATAGTAAAAAATAAGGTGAGAATTAGGCATAGGCATTAATAATAACACATGGTTACCTGGTTTGTGCTATCTGGTCCAATTAATTTGCAGAATTATAGTAAGTATTTCTTTTTAAACTCAGCCAAGTCAGTGAGGCCCATCCAGAAAGGTCTCCTGCACACAATAAACTTAATCCTTATTTTTGACTGTCTTTCCAAAAGCAATGAACATGGTCAGATTGCAGTGGTCAGGCAACACAAGGCCCACACTGCAGCCAGAAAATCTGGCCCTCGTTGCCTTTATTTATTGAGGCTAAATGTAAAGTGTGACATTCTTGGATCAACAAGTACTGAGAAAAACCCAGCACATAAAATATGAGAGTAAAACATTGCAGCTCTGTGAATCTATCACTCTCTAAAATGAAAGCAATCTTAGGTCAATTTTAGACTCAATGGAACTTTTTTAAGAATGCAGAACTATTGTTTTATGACAAAAAGCCAAAGAATGCAGTGTTCTGTTACACAAGTATTCCTGATTTTACACACTTTAAGATGTAAAATTGATCAGCTCTTTCAGGTGTCTTTCATTTTCCTTCAGTTCAGGGTTTAAGTTTAAAGTAAGCAGTCTTGATAAATTAATGGCATGCTATTTATCAGTCTTAGTTATCCAACTGTTATTATTACTGTAATTTCATTGAACAAATGTGAATGTTGCAAAAGTATCTATTCTGCATAAGTGATTTTGCCATATTGCTTTTACTTTTATATCCTGAAGGTCAGTTATTAGGATCATTATATTGCAAATAGACCAAGCCCTGCTATTTCTCACCAAGGATTTAGGGACAAGTTCAATTCCAAATGCATATTTCACTTACATTCATACACTCTTAAAGACCTATAGGTTTGAATAAAAAAACAACCAACTAAAATATTGTACATAGGTTCAGGATTTATTCACACTTCTTTTTTTATCTTGTCAGTTTTACATTGGTAAAGATTGTAAATATACTCCTACTAAGAAAAGCTAAAACGAAATTATCCTTGTGCTACCCAGTGAGTTACTACTGAATTAATCTGCCAGCGAGAGAAGGGAGGAAGGGGCATAAAGATTTTTTTTTAACATGACCGTTTTCAGGTTATTCCAGAATGAGGTGTGAATTTAAAGCACAATAACCAGTTTGGAATAACTCCCCATATGGACATTCCCATTTCAGAGCAAATTTTTTTTCTGAGTTACCTTATTTCACTCGCAAAGTTTATCCTATTCAGAAAAAGTGTTTCCCAGAAGAGGAGCTTTTTCACAAGAAGTATTTCAGCCAGTTTCACCACATAGAGAGAAATTCACTTTATATGACTACACAAGAAGTTAATTAGGTACAATAGATTTTGACAAAATAGGAAAGAATATTCCAGGTACTCCAACTTCCACTTGCACTGACACATTATTAGTATGACTTGGAGCGTGCATGCCTCATTTGTCAGCATAGTGTACCTGCCATCATAGGCAATCCCTGTAGCCATGTTCTAAGCCTTAAAACAACAACTAATCTTTTAAAGCTGAAATACAAAGCAAGGAAAAAATGTTTTTTCACCCTTCAACACTTTCTTATGATCTGAAATGACTATCTCAATGGTAGAGGAAAAGGTCTGCTTCTTTTTATAAATAATATTCTTAGCTTTTTTGAAATACCAGTGCCTCACTTCCCTTGCACTGATGCAGTTTTGTAATAAGATCTTTGGAGATTTGTGAGATGCAGGGCTCCCCGTTTTCATTTTAAATAGTCCAATATTTTATATACATGATAAAAAAGACCAATTAAGATGAGGAAAAACTGCATTTCAGATTAGACACTATGCCAGCATTACTATTATGGTCTCCCATGATGCTGCTGAAGTCTTTAGGGAAAAAAAAGAATACATTGGGCTCAATTCTTCATTGTTACATCTTTGTAAAGTAGCGTTCACTCTATTCAAATGGTCTGAGTTATGTCCATAATAGCATCTGTGAGAAGAAGCAGTGCACATACGCTTCTGCAGTGGGAACAGGAATAGCTGCAGCTCAGATTGTAGCCTTACCAACATCTTGCCTGGATCTTTCATCAGACAGAGAAAATGGCTACCTTGGACTTCCAATGGAAGAAAAAAACAGAAAAACAATGGATTATTTTTAGTGAGCTACTCCTTCTGTATAAAAATTATTTTTGCAACAGTCATCTGTATATCCAAATAGCTATTTTTAATCTTTGAGGAAGAACATTTACTAAAAATAAACCATTTAATATCAGGGAAATGAAAATATCAGATTATTTTAAAAATAGTATTTTACTATATCAGAAACAAATACTGAATTCTTTCTTATTTTGACTTCTCAGTTCACTAGAAGACTCACTAGAATACTTTGAGCACTCCCTGTGCATACATTGATTTTTTTTTTAATAAATAGATGCATCTAAAAACTTTAAATGCCACTAACAGGTTTCACTGTAATGTGCCTTTTAAACCATAACCTACAGGATGTTGAGTTAGGACTATTTTGGCTTTTTGAGGGCAATAAAGGCTGATGCAGTTTTACTTCTCGTCCCAGAGCAACTCACAAAGGACCCTGTACAAAGGTGCATCTCTAAACCTATGGCTGATGCCTGTCCCTTCTCACACCTTTTGAGTGATTTAGCGTCAGTACTAACTAGAACACAAGCACCAAGGGAGGAAAAAGCTGCTTGAGCTTTGATCGGACACTACCTTGTGGCTGGCTGTCTCTGACTCCAGAACGGAAGATGTAAACATACTGTCAATCTTTGCTTAGACCATGTCCAAATTAATATTATTTTTAGATGCTACTGGGAGCTCTAGAATTTTAAAACAGTTCTTGGTTTGTCATTCAGGTTTATGCCTCCACAGTATCAAGATATACCTTACATGCTTTGTGACATTCACGTTTCCATCTCTTGTTGCTTGCCTTATACGTGTGTTAATAGTTGCTGCTTGGAGGGGTGACTAGACAATAACAGGGGAACATTCTTTAGTTTAAAACTCCTACTCAGGATATATATTCCCAGGCTTTCTAGTTCTGTCAGTTATAACTAAGCCATTAAGTTAATCATGTTGAATTCAGAAAAAGGTGCTACCCGAAATCTGTCAAAGTAATTATTCTTCTTTATCCTCTGAGGTAGGAGTGTTCTGTGTGAAATAAACATTTTTTAAGTGTTGCACCATAGCTTTCTCATCATCTTCAAGATCTGCACCTTCTCTCATCTCCCACCTGAAAGAAAAATAACTTTTTAGTAATGTTCTTAGTATTTTTAAATACGCAAGTTTTTAGAACAAGCAAGACAGTAAAAAAAAATTACCACCATCAATTCATTGCCCCCCAAACTGCGGGGTACATCAGCGGAAATTAGTGAATCACGATGCCCCTCCGTTTGTAAAGAGTATTCTTCCTGTAACCTTTTTAACTTGAGGAGAAAGGAAATAATAAACTGTATTTTCTCTGAAAGAGGTTTCCATGTGTGTCCCAAAGTTAAATGTTACCTTGTGGAACATAATTAAGTTAGATATTATCAGCTGCAGAAAAAGGTGCTACCCGAAATCTGTCAAAGTAATTATTCTTCTTTATCCTCTGAGGTAGGAGTGTTCTGTGTGAAATAAACATTTTTTAAGTGTTGCACCATAGCTTTCTCATCATCTTCAAGATCTGCACCTTCTCTCATCTCCCACCTGAAAGAAAAATAACTTTTTAGTAATGTTCTTAGTATTTTTAAATACGCAAGTTTTTAGAACAAGCAAGACAGTAAAAAAAAATTACCACCATCAATTCATTGCCCCCCAAACTGCGGGGTACATCAGCGGAAATTAGTGAATCATACAAAATACAACCCAAAAAATCTCTCCCTACGCAACTGGCATGTTTGTGAGACAACTGACACCAACTGTCAAAACTACACCAAGATCTTACTTATATCTAGTGTAATGGTATGTTCTTTCTCTGTTACACCTTGGTAGAAGACTGACTAGAAGCCATGTAAAACTAACAGGGAAAAAGTGGAAGAGCTAACAAGTGTTTTGAGAAGGGAAGTTAAGCGGACGCTCTCAAGATTTTGTAAGTTTGCAGTCAAAACTCAACTGCCACATGATATTCAATCCAAAGATTTAATATGAACGATCATCACTCCCTTGCAAATTAAAAAATACAACGAAACTGACTGGCTTCTTGTTTCTTTAAGTAAGACATACCTATCATCCCAAGAAATAAACAATGTATCACAATCTTCCCTCTCTCCATGTGAATACTCATTTCTAATTTAGGACAAAATTCTAATACAATTAAAACTGAAAAAGTGAAAAAGTAGAAGAACTGGAAGATGATTTTGCTTTTATTTAAGAGTTAAATCAAAACACCTTAAGGGTCACACAGCATCCCCTTGCAGAAAATTAGGATAATAAATGCAAAAATACTGCTGATATGTAGCCAGTTAAACTTTGCATCACTTTAAGGAAGAGGGGGGAGGGGGAAAGAAGATTGCCCCCTCTCTAATTATGCCTGTGTAAAGCTCAGTAATGTGACCCTATCTTTTTAAAGAGGTTTTGAAGATTTTCAAGAGCTTGACAACCTTTTAATATTGATATCTTTCTGTTTGAGATTGATAACAAAGTGTAAGCTCCCAGTTCATACCAGCTAAAGACAAAAAGTAAAGTATATAAGCAGTACGATTACTGAATACAGAAATCAGATTTTCAAGTATTAAATATAGTAGATTATAACTGATCCACAGGATGATCCTATAAATTTAGTAGGAGACACATAATGGAGCAGAAGGACAAAGACTGCTTTCAGGAGACTAATGTCACAGCAATACTTTAATCCTGCCCTCACACTTGTTATGTCCTCATTCAGACTACAAAACACCAGGAGTCAAATACAAGTTTACAGATTGGTGAATAAATTAAACAGAATACAGAATGGTGGGATGAGTACATTGCATTCATCACACTTGCAGAAAAGGACAATCATTATTGGCAAGAGGGTACGATGTTTATCTTTTCTAACTGTACTTAAAAGCTTACTAAAACCAGAAAAAGAACAAGTCTCTGTAGTATAATTTTATAGTTAAAATACAGTTAGGAAAAATATATTCAATGAACATGTATAAAATAGCATATAGTCATCATGCTTTTACTTTAAAAATTGAATCTGACAGCTCACATTACTGTCTGGACTGAGTAAATAGCAGAAAAAGCAAAGCATACTCTGAATAAAGTGATACACACTGTATGCCCATGATCAAAGTTTTGCAGTAATTATTAATACCCCACTTATATATGGCTCTACTACCATACTTCACCTCACTGGAATATTAATATTAGGTACAATTAATCACGATTATGGTTGTCTGCTCCATTCTCTCCTTTATGAGATGTTTATAACATCTGTCCATATGAGCCTTTGGCACAGTTACTTGTGTAAGCATCCCAGATGAATACTGACAAACAAGGCAACTGGCTTCCTCTTTTCCTTTTGCTAATGTACCGAGGAGCCTCTTCAAACTTAGGAAAAAGTAGTGGAACCCTTAATTTGAATTTATGGTCCTTAGAGTCATTCTGAAACACCACTTTACCAGTTGAATTGATTCATTTTAATTAATATGATTTGCTGCATGTTTTTAAGTAGAGGAGTTGTTTGCTCAGAAAGAAGACAACTAGAATTGCTAAATGGAATACATTTAAAACAGTTATTGCTTTAGGCATAACACATAGAAAAGGAGCAGTCTTTGCTAATGGAAGCTTAGGTTAACAATAAATCAGCAGATTCCTTTTAAAGATAGTGACTTCATACTTGTCAGCACATTTCACTGAATCTGAAATGTTAGTGTTGGTAAAAATCTTCAATGTCATCCCGTTTGGACATTCTTCAGTGTTCGCTTTATAAAAGTTATCACTAATACATTACATTATCATTTTATCAAAAAGTAGTCTATTTTTAAAGCATTTAAAGAAGTCCAATGAGGATAAAAGTGTCTTCTATGCATTTGCTTAACAGTATCCATGAATTAAAAATCTATGAAGTGAGCTTGACAAACACCTGGTGGCTCATCTAATTTTGAAATTGTTCCACTCTTATGCATAAAATCTGGGGAGGGTGTTGTTTTTTAAAAGACTACTGGACAGCGGGTGAGAAGGCCACACCATATCTTTGCTGTTCTAAATGGCATGACAAATCAGGTGTCTGTGTTCAAATGGAGAAAGAGTCAACATTTACTATTCCAAAATTTGTCCAAAATGGAACATGTTTTTACTAGCAAATCTAAAATGTGTGACAATTGTTTTGGCAATAGTAACTGGCACAAATCCAGCCATGCAGTAGCCAGTTCAAGCAATGTGAACGTGAATGAAATTACCATCATGAATTACTTTCAGAATACCAGCTTCATTAGCTGAACAGCCAACCTGCAACTTCTGTTATGTCAAATTATTAGTAACATGGCTCTAAGAGAAGATTTCCCAATAGCATGGTTGGCATATATTTTATTTTAGTCTGGCTTTATTTTGGAAGATTAAATTAAAACGGCATTCCAAAAGGATACTGGAGATATTTGAACCAATCCATCATATCTCCATCTACCTTTTGCCTACAGTTCATATAACCATAATAAGTCTGAGTGTCCAGAAATTTAGTAAACTCAACTTTCAGTACCTTCTTCAAATTTAAAAGAAAGCATATGTTTAGTATAAAATGCCATCACTTTTGTAAGCTTTAGGGTAGAATCACAAAAGCACAGTTTTCAAGTCATGAGCATTTGCGTATTTGCAGAATGAAACGTTTGAAATATTTTTTTCAAATCTGCAGAAAAGTAAATAATATAGGTGACATATTTTTGTGCACATCTGAACAGAATTGCCTGTTCTCCATATGCTGTTTCTCTCTGTGTTGCATGTGGCTAATCAAGGAAAAAACCCTAGCAATGTATTTTTTCAGATAGATACAGCTCAGTGCTTCAGCACAGAAAAATACAGAAATCAGTGAAGTTTTTTGCTATTAGATGAGCCTAGATTGTGGCTTAGGGCGTGAGGTCAAACAGGACAGCTAGCACTAGTAGGGCTTCTGATTTCCCTGATAAATGCGGTGAGAGAGGAAGGCGTCTTGGCTTGTGCATCTGTAAGCTAACAAAGTGCAAGGGGAAAAGTATGCAGTGCCCTAGGCAGATCCAACGATTCCAGCTCAGCTTTCCTTAGCAATGTATAAACATGCTATCCTTGTTTATAATTAGCATCAATACATCTATTTATATATAGGTATACAGGTTCTACGATAATTCTGTCTCTCGACTATACTGAATTAAAAAAGCTAAATAAACAGTAAATGTGTTTGCAAAGATGCAGAGATCAATCTGTTTCCACTATTTAAAAAGCATGCAGAGCATTTTAGCATGGCTGTATTTAATACACGATCATACATTTGCTACATTGATTTTCTGTTGCAGTATTGACTATATTTTGTAACTTGTACATATATTCATATGCAGGCACTTTAAAGGAACCATAACAGGAACTATATATTACATTTAGGTGCTTGTTACAGATCAAGAGAAAGTATATGCAGTTAATGCCAAGGCAGTGGCATATTAAATCAGAAGTGTAACATATACAGTAATTTCCATACAGCGATTTTCAAAAGCAACACAAATTTTACCTGCTGCAGATTGCCACCTTTTAAGAAGTTTCATTAAGGAGTTTACTGTAATAGATACTATTTGATTAGTTACTAAGTTTATTCCTTACAGTTCATTACTTTTAACAAGTGTAAAAAGATTAGAGGAAAAAGGCTTTGTAAAAAATGACAGCAACGAGAAAGTAAACATGAACAAAACTGAAATAAAATTAAGAACTTTTAAAAACTTAGATGTATTTTAAGCTTTGAAAAATCTCCTTATTGGCACTATTTGAGAGATTGACCATGCCATTTTTGAGAGCTAAATTTACAGAAAGGGTCACCCTAATATTTATAGTAGAATTTTATGTGTCTATGTAGTTTTTTGACATCTGTTGCATTTTCTTAATGCCTTGAACAAAGTTACATGATACATAATTCCACAGAATAAAAATAAATAGCTGTTGGAATTAAAATGCCTCTTTGGCATATGACTGCCATGCCGATACTGTTGTTATTTTCTACAGAAAAACTGTTATCTTGGGTCCTCTTGTATGGAACTATTGTCAAACAATGAAAAATTTAACTGTACAGCTGTATATTACTTAGCTGAAAATATGCATTTTCACACTTAATGATAATAAAATAGCTAAATTTAATAATTGGTACTTATCAAAACACAGCAATATATTTGATATCGAGATAATAAGACGACATAATTCATATCTAATCTAAATCAGACACAGACTGCCATTCAAATATCCTAACATCAAGCATGCAAGCTCTAGAGCTTATCTATTTTTATGTGGTGAGTTATCACCAGAAAGCATTACAGAAGCACTACATTTTTCAAGAGGAATTTCAATAAAAACAAGTTAGCTCAAGGAGAGAAAGTCTTTTTTTTTTTTTTTTTGCGTGGTATTACGTAAGAAGGAAATAAGGCAACAGTGGGAAAAGAAAACAAAAAAGATATTTAAATTTAACTTATATTCCCATTTATCTTTAAGTGATTTAAGAGATGTTTCAGGTAATTTAGATGAAAATATTTTCTACAAAAATCATCTTTATTTTC